TTGGTCATCAGTTGTTTCGTGTTGGTCTTCCCCACTAGAATGTGTCACTCTGAGAAGGCCTGGAATGTACCAGGTGCTCCAGAAGTATCTGTGGAATCACTACTAAATGACCCGGGTGCAGAGTCGGGGAGGGGATAGACAGAGCCCTTCTGTATGTGGATTATTTTTAGGAAACATTTGGCTGAGTCCAGGGACTGCTGCACCTGGCCCCTCCCATGTCTGTGCACGTCTCTGCTAAATTCCACAGTGACCTCAAGTGGGAGGCTTAAAATTAGCCAATTTACACTGTGGAAATCTGCAAATTCTATCATCAGGCCTTCTTTTGAGGGGCTTGGGGGAGCCGGCTGTTTGCCAGCACACCACTGCCTGGCCTGAAGGATATAAGGAGAGATGAAGTCACCCCACTTTGTCACACCCACATTTAGTTCTGTCACTCTGAAGTTAAGGAGTGATCATTATGCTATTTCGGGGATCAATACATTCCCATAATGTGGCCTTGATAATCCCAGAGCCAAGGATGGACCCGCTGGAATTATGCAGGCAGCTGTCGGTGCGTGTCGAGGTGTGACTGTTCACCTGACTTCCGTACAGGCCAAGTCCCCAACTGGACAGAGATTGCTGTGCGACAGCTTCTAGGTACTTTTCTGGTTTTTGCCAATCACACTAATTTTTAGTTTCTCACACAGGACTTCAACCCAAAGATGAAACAGAAAGTGGTGCTCACTACCAGCACCCATCTACTGCTAAGGGACAACCCTACCTCCTACCCAAAGCCCACAGCACTCAGCTTTCACAGTGCAGCCGAGCGAGGCAAATACCAAACAGGGAGGGAAAAGGGGAACCCTCTCTGCCCTTCTATATTTAGTCTTCTTAAACACTCTCAGCCCATCCTTCACTCTGGAGGCTCTACTCCTCATCATCTTTTATGGATTCTAAAAAAGCAAGGAGAAAATTCTTTTGTTTCAAAACACTTGGATTATAGCTCCTTTTCTTCAAGATACCAATACCTTAGGTTAGGATACGTTAAGTGGAAGCAAAAATCCATATGGCGGCTCCCATGCTGGATGGTGGACCCAGCCATGCCCGTGGACGTCTGCTTTGCATCTCATTGCAGCACGGGCATAGCCAACCCCATATAGGTGTCGCTGATGAAGGGTCTCCAGAAGTTCACCAGGGGCACCTGGGGGGCTCAGCTGGTTAAGTGTCTGAGTCTTGATTTCAGCTCAGGTCGTGATCTCATGGGTGGTGGGATCAAGCCCCATGTTGGGCTCTGTGCTGAGACAAGGAGACTGCTTGGGACTCTCTCCTCTCTCCTCTCTCTCTCTCTCTGCCCCTCCTCCTCTCTCTCTCAAAAAAACAAACAAAAACAAAAAAAACCCTCTAGAAATCCATGAAAAATACTATTACTGGTCACCAAAGACTCACTAGACCTCTGTGGAGTATATAAACTATGCCACCACTTTACTGACCTATAAAACACAGACTAATAAAACAAGTAATCGATGTGGGGGAGGGTCAGGAGGAATTTATATCTGTGTTCTCGGGCTACCTGTTCACATCTTGTTCTGGCTCAATCCCTCCTATCAGGGGAGAGGATGGGGAGCCTCATGGGTGCAAGTTCTGACTGTGAAAGGTGTTCAGGCTGGGATGCCAGGGACAGGAGCCTGAAATGGTAGAAGACAGAGGACGCGAGCCTGAGGGGGTCTCCAGCTAGCTGCACACGGTCACCGGTGGCTTTTAAGTGTGGCCGTGACTGAGGCAAGAGGCACAGCCAGAAGGCAGGATGTTGGCTGTCAGGTGGTCCGCTCAGTATGAAGGCCAGGCTACCTGGGGGCAGCACAAATGACTGTACGTGGAACCAGGCTTAGAGGGTGGGGCAGGTTCCTGAACTAAGAATGATTTGCTAAGTATCTTGTCTCAGTCAGGAGAGAGACTTGTTTTCTCTTGGCTGGGTGAGGTCAGCCCTGAAGGCAGGGAGGCTGTGTTGGTACATGGGAGGCAGATCCAAGAAAGACAGAAGCTATACAGTGTCTTGGAAAGGATGTGATACAAAGACTAAGATGACCTAGGTTCTAGAACTTTCTGCCACTTGTAGCTTGTAACTTGGGCAAAGCACACACGTCTCTGGGCTTCATTTATCACCTCTAAAGTGGAAATAACATGTGCCCACATTCATATAGGGTTGTGTAAGGATGAAATCTGACAAGGCTAGAGAATATGTTGTATAAACTATAAAATTGCCTGACTACCTATTACTCTTACTCTTTGTAGGAAAAAAAATCTTATAGTAAGCTGATTATATTAACGGCTCACTTCAGAAAGTAAAGCAAGAGGCAGGAAAAGAAAAATCCACGAAGTTGCAAAATATCACCAACCAACAGGCATTCATTCTGGCCAGGATAAAGATGCCACTTTCTAGGAAAGACTGAAATATGGATTTGGTTTTGGGCAGCACTACACACCTTTACTGGGCCTCAAGTCACCCCAGTCCAAACTAAATAGGAAGCACAGACTAAACAGCGAGGTGGGCAAATGCCCCCCACTGGTGAGAAGTGGGGTGGGGGGGTAGTGAAGTCTGCTGCAACTGCCAGGGGAGAGTGCCCAAAGCCAACGGAGCAGAGCCCGTAGGTTGCACGGCCCGGGCCCACGGCTGGGCCGTCTTCCCAGCTCAAGTCTGGAGAGTAGTCTGGCTCTGGAAGGGTCCCTGGGCAGACCCTGGAGAGAAGCACAGAGGTTACGTGGAAGATGTGCTGCTGGAAAGAGCTTTTTATAGGCCTTGGGCGTGTTTTCAGGGTGGGGGTGGGGGTATCCGCAGTGGAGGCCGGGACTGGGCAAGAGGTGAGGTGGAGCGCGGCCAGTGCTGTCAGGGAGGGGGGCTGCCGCCGGCCTCTGGGGGTGCACAGGGGGTGCTGGGAGACAGGCAGGGACCAGAGGACGATGAGTGCAGCCTGGCCCTGCACGTGAACCTGAGAAGGCAGCGTCTCGACTCACACAAACCCGGTGGGCTCACGGCAGGGGAGCTGCCCCCCTCCCCACAGGTCGTCGAGCCCACCTGGCCTTCTCGCCCCATCTGCAGAACAGTGAGTGCACGTGAGCACCAGGAGGCAGAGAAGGGGACGTCTGCACTGGGGAAGGGAGGACACGTTCCCTCCCCCTCCTCCTCCCATCCCACCAAGGAGTGGAGGGGGCAGGCGGAGAAAGTGCCTGTGCCTCCCACCCCCTTCCACCTCCTTCTCTCAATTTATTTTTCACTTCACTTCACGAGATAGGAACATAGTGTCATTTTTCTGTTACTCAACACATCAGCAAACACAGCTGCCAGGTCACAAAACTGCTTTCCTTGGGGTCACAAAACTCCTTTCCTTGGGGTCAGGGGGCCAAACAGTCTCCAACTCCACACCAAATACTTTGTCCCCATGGGATGATCATGGCCTGTCAGAATCACCCTTCACCCAGCCAGCCATTTCCATGAGAACACATGGGGATATCGGGCTCAGAGGGCCTCAGGACAGAGGGGCCTTACTGCAGCCCACAGCCACTGGGGGCTTAGGTCCTGCCCATTAACTGTGTGTCCATGGTCAAGAGCAGCCACCCCTGTGCCTCAGTTTCCCCATTTCCTAAGAGGATCCAGGGCCAACTTCCCAGGGCTGCTACGGGGTCATGTGAGAGCGGCATGCTAGTGCTTGCTGTTCAACAGCTCAGATTTCTCGAGCATCTGCGCTGTGACGGGCTCTCAGCCCCAGTCCAGCCCACAGAGAGCTGCATCCGACAGACGAGAAGGGCAGTAAGAAGGCGCTGCCCATTAACGGAGGACGGTGGTTGGGAAGGGAGGGGTAAAGGGCACAGCCCCTGCGGTCACACTGCTCAGTAGCACAGCAGCTGTGTTATTTCAAGCAAGTTACTTAACCTCTCTCAGTATTTCAATCTTCTCAACTCTCAACAGAGATAGAACAATACCTAGCGGATCTTGGTGTGAAGACCAAAGAAAATGAGTAACTTGACACAGCATTTGGCTCAAGGTAAAGTAACTACTAGTCTTAAGTAACAATGGTAATTGTAACAATAATGAATTAATGGGGTTGGACAGAGAGGCTTAGCAGAAGCAGGTCATCCAGTCTGAAGGCACAGGTTCTCAGAGATGACATCTGAACTTGGACCTCACGAAGGACTTTTATGCAGTTGACCCTTTGATTTGCCGTGTGGCCAGTCAGATAAGACTCGATGCTGTCTGATCTAGCTCACATGTCAAATTACTGGGAAACGAGCACAGATGGACCCTGGGGTGCCCTTGGCAGCATCAGCAGCAGCTGGGATGGACGTTCTGGAAGCAGGACCATGCCCTCTAAAAGCTGCGGGGCCAAGCTCCTTCCATTCGGGGCCAGGAGAGGAGGCACCCCACCTGCACCCCACCCATGGCCACTGACAGGCCAGGGACTCTTGCATATACCAGTTACATCCCAGTTCATGAGCTCTTCACGGGGGCACCTGCAGATGTAGCCAATACACCGTTTCCATCTCAGCATTTTTAATGCTGTTCAAGAGACAAGGCGCCACCATGTTTCCAAAATAAAATGGCCCCAATCCCACCTACAAACTGTTTTCCACAATGTTTCTCCTAGGTCCTGTCTGTAATTAGTAAAGACCAGGGAGTGGGTCCTGCGATTAGACCAGGCCTCGGTTCTGACAGTTCTGTTTTCTAGGACATTCCTTTGGTTGACGATAAAACCGCCTATCAGAATCTGAATTGCTGAACTGAACGAAGATCACGACCAGAGCCTTCAGGCGGAGCAGAGTTAACAAGAGAGAGAGACTTTTATATACTTTCAAGTACATGCCTTTAGGCGTCTGTGATTACTCCAGGGCTTTTCCAATTGAACGTCTCAGCAGTAAATTTTGATTGCTAAACCTGAAGGCAGATCACTAAATAACTCAGACAGTCTCTCCAGACTTTTCAAGTGAGTGGAGCTTCCATTTCCGTGTCAAATTGACTGCAGACTTACCGAGGTCGATGAGAATCGCATGCTGTTGGGAGGTGAGCCGTTTCAAGAGCTCCTTGTATGGCGTGTCCTTTGGCTGCTGTTTACTGGGAAACGGGTGCCTGAGGTGGTACTGCTCTGCTAGGAATTTCCAGATCTCCCCCCGGTGATGACGCGGCACACCTTCAGGAGAAGCGGCAGGAAACAGATTTTTATGCTCAGACTATGACGTAATGATAAAAATGAGTGTGGTCTCACTCCACTGACCACCTCTTGTTTCGTATGATTTAGCAGCATGGAAAGGGAAAGGAAACAACTACAGTTTTGTCCTGTCTGCTCCCCTTCCTTCCTTCCCCCACATCCCCATCCTTCCCCCCACCTCTGCTGGCCCCTGGCACTTTCCTTTCGGCTTTCAAATGTGTACCGTGTTCGGGCTATGATACGTTCGGGGGAGGAGGGTGGGTGAGCTAATGAATGACACGAGTCCCGTCCGGGGCCAATTAGTGTTCAGGAGAAAGACACCCAGGTGTACAAAACTGCAATGCACAATGTCATCTCATACAAGGGATGTGAGTCGAGGGAAGGGGTTCCGATGAAGGAGAGCGAGATTTCACAGAACCTGTCACCTGTGCCAAGATGTAAGAGGGCGGGAAGGGAGGGGCGAGAGAAGGCGCATCGGAGGAAGGAGAGTGCGTGTTTCTCTGCCTCGGGCGCAGGTGTAGTGAGAGGGGGCAGTGGGGTTGGAAGGTTTTTATTAGAGATGAAATAAAGGGCAAGCCAGCTGCACTTTATTTGGCAGCTCTGGGGAACCCCAGAATGTTTTTGAGCTGGGGAGGGAGCAGCCTAATTGGGGAATATGGATTAGACACCGTCTGCAAGGTGGGGTGGGCTGAGAAAGGGCCAAGGGGCTGGACTGGCCACCATGTGCATCAGTGTGCCTTGTCCCCAAGGCACTTGACTAGGACGTGAAAACAACTGAAAAGCCATCCGAGAGCCTCGACGCCACATTGTCAGTACAACTGATATGACTATACAACGTGATTAAAAGTGTCCTCTGAAAACTATGAGGAGTTCTCTTAAAGCGAATGATGTTATTTAAGGCAAACTTCGTTAGGAAAATGACGGTTTTGATTGAAAACGTTCTGGTTCACCATTGAGCTGCGATAAGGCCCGAATGTAGAAATGGGAGACAAGGGAGCCTGTGGAATAAGGCCCCAAATCCCTCTCGTCTCTGACAGGAGTCCTCTGGAGAGAAAAGGAGCCTCTGACTGAGGGGCTGAGCCCTCCTTTCTTCCATGAAAAAACGTGACCCCTTCGTACACTTTCCTGCTGGTCAGAGCACCTGTCCAGGAAGACGGTATTCCTGGTTTCTCACTGGCCACAGGTGACGAAAGTCTGCACTCTTGGCAAGATGGCAGCAGCAGGTACCCTATACCGTGAGGTTGCCAGGTGCTGTCGCCATCCTGAGCACGGCGTCATCCCCACCACCTGCTGACGGACGCTGGACGACGACCCTCACAGTAACGCCAAGGAAGCTGAAGCCGCAGGGACAGGTCCCTCAGCTGAGATCACCTAGCTGGGCAGGAGCAGAGAGAGGGACCGCCTTCTCTATCAGAGTAGTCAGCATGCTGCTACTCGGGTGGGGACCAGAGAACAGGTATTTTGTGTTCTTGCCCGGTGGTTAATAATAAAATCATCATCTGTGGATCTGAAGCAGGCAGTGCTCAGTTTCATTTACTATCAGATCCACAAGAATTGTTTGAACAATCACTCAGCCATCTCTTAGAAATACTCTGGGTATGGTAAGCAAATTGATTTTTCCCTTACACATCCCAGTTGTAAAAGAAAAAGAAATAAGGCAAGCCTGTGGGAGAAATACAGGACCACACTTAACTGTGACCACAACCCACACCTTCTCTAAATGCTGGTCTTGGCACTAATCTCATGACCCTGTGTAGTGGGTTGAATGGTGACCCCAAAACGAGTGTCCACATCCTCACCCCCGGAACCTGTAAACGTGATTTGGAAAAGGCGTCTTTGTAGGTATCATTAAGGTGTGGAAATGAGATCAGCTCCTTGATGATGCAGGTGGGTCCTCTCTCCAATGACATATGTCTTTACAAGAGACACACAGAAAGGACAAGAGGAACAGGCAATGTGATCGTGGAGGCGGAGAGCACAGTGACGCAGCCACAAGCCAAGGAATGCCCGGTGCAGCCCTCCCCACCTGACCCCAGGCTTCTGGCCTCCGGGAGTGTGAGAGGAAACTTACTGTTGTTTTAGCCATAATTTTGTAATAATTTGTTACAGCAGCAAAAGGAGACTAATATACCCTGACATCTGCCTTTTTAGGTTATTCCATTCCTTCTCTCCCTGCTCAGAGGAATATTATAGGCTGTGTGTGTGTGTGTGTGTGTGTGCATGTGTGCGCACGTGTGTGTACGTACACATGCACACATACACACAAGCCCTTAACATTTCAAACTACATTAGAAGCAAATGTGGCCTGAAAAACAGTCAACATGTTAAGTGATTTATGGTGGGGCTTTTTCACAAAATATTTTTTTCAAACTGGGAAATTTTCCCAAGGTATGAGATGACCAATTTCCTCTTATTACTAAATCATTCCCATTATCTTATCAGACCCTTATTTTTTGGAGGAAGAGAATACTCCTTGTGTCAGGGGACAGTACCACATATTCTGTTATTTAAGAGAGTTCAGGTTTTGTGATTTAAAAACAAAGAGTCATGCAAATTGGAGCCAATGTTTTTGCTGAGAAGGGCCTGGAATAGCCTTCCCCAAGTTCAGTTTTGCCTCCACTCGTACCCTGGGCCTGCAGGCAGGCTTCTGGGTGGACAAGAGACCATTCCCCGCTAAATGATAATACTTTTTATTTTCACGGACTTCAGAAATAATTTGTGCTTACCACTTTAAAGAAAAAAAAAAGCTCTTCTAAAAATGCAAAAGGTGTAAAGAAAGTGAAAAACCACTCATAGCTAGAGTGAAGATATAATTCAACACCCCAAAGTAGGAAGGATTTGAAAGCAAAGAGAGGAAGGCTATTACTTATTTCACTGGGACAAGCGGAAAGCCAGGGCTGTGCCAGGTAAACCAGATGTACAGTCGTCCTATTACTCGGATATCTGCAAACGTGTCATGCATGTGGTGTGCATTATGTGCATACAGAGATACACAACTGTACACAAGACTGCGCCAAATTTTTATTTTCATTTACTTATCTCAGACACTTCTTATATCAGTAAATACAAATCGACTGTGTCACTTTTGAGAACTACAGGATGGCCACATGGCTGCAGTTTCTGGTTGTGTTTTGGTTTCTGTCCACACAATGCCGTAACACGCATTCCTACTGCAGTTAATTTTTGACTGGTTACTTTCTAGAATAGGTTTCTATATGCGGCATTGCTGGATCACGGGTACATACGCAGTGCTTGCATCTGGCCCAAATTGCCAACTGCCCAGGTGGCCTCTTGGCAATCTCGATCCTAGAAAAGTGCACTCCGGTTCACAGAGCTCTACCTTTCTATCTTTAGTGACGTCATCTAAACCCAAACTAAGCTTTGAGGTATTTAAAGCTCCACAGAATCATCTTCCTTCTCCCAAGCTGACACCCTAATCCTGCTGCTCTGATCCAATTTTAACCTAGAAAGCTCAGATCCCTTTTCCCACCACTTAGGGGGTCCTCAGATCATTAAGAGGAAGAGCCTCATCTCCTACATGGGGACTGTTTTCTCTTTCAAAGGCTCTGTAGTAACTTGGCTTCTATAAGAGGCCAAAGGGATGGTTCTGACTTGATCTCATTTTTTTATTCTGAGCTACAAGATGGACTGCGGGCCATTTGTTTGGAGTCATTACATCTTACATGTTGACACCAGCCGAATAATTGAAAAAGCCCCTTATGCAGTTAGAAATAGGGTCTCCACCACAGCAGGTAATGTGACCACGTCAGCAGATCCAAGAGAGTTAGCCTCGGCTCATCTCGGTTTACAAACTGTACAATCACCAATCTCAAACTTCACTACACAGGTTCCAGATGCCTGAAGTGTTTCCATCAGTTCCCTCCAGTAAAATATGCAGTGAAAACCAGTATCTCCAGGTTTCTAAGAAACTCAAATGTTCGAAACAGCTGTCACAGACCCATGTGATTTACCTTTTGTAGAAGCAAAGCCACCTGAAGACCATCATATAGTCAACAGTGAAAAGGGAAAGAACTGACTCCTTTTCTCTGCTTTCCCCGTTTTCCAAACAGCAATCTGGGACCATTTGGTGCAATGGTAAGCTTCCAGCAACCACTATGGGCACAAATAATGTGGGAACTGAGAGAGAGCTGTGAGACCCTCTGTGTAGTCCACAGCTCTCACTCCAGCAGTCAGGAGGCTGGAGCCCAAAAGGGTGAGGACACCTGCCAAAGGTCACACGGGGAGCCGCCAGCCAGTTCGGAGCCTGAGTCCTCACCAGTGGCCACACTTCTGGTCTCTGAGAAGAGCACCACCGAGGCAGGTCCAACCGCAGACAGTGCTCCAGCAGATGGGTGTGTGGCCGGGGCCCATTACAGCGGAGCCACGTGTCCTTACCATAGAAAGGGGAAAGTCATAACTAGCAATAACTATATATTATTCCTGAAACTGACACTGTCAAGTTCAGATAAAGGCTAAATAATGCCCACAGTAGGAGAGAACTGCTTTGGCCTACCCACTCTTGTAGAGATAAACAACACTGTGTAACTTCTTCCACTGAGCTGCTAATAAAGTCAGAACAAAACTGCAAGCTTCATACATATTTGAGCTGCTTTGTCTGAATTCGTGGTGATTGATGATGGCACTGACCAGAACCTGATAACCACCACAACTAGACTCCGAAAGCCTCTGATCTTGCCAGCAGATGCTAATATACACTTATTTAAAAGAAATGGTTGTTTTATTTGAACACTAATAATCATCGAAGTCAAGCTGTAAAATGGAGTTACTCAAACTAGTTGTGAAGGACTGGTTTTTGTTTTCTTTTAAAGTGTTCCAATCCACTGCTGATAACTTTTATAAAACACAGTAAAAATGAATTTATGTAAAAATGAAAGAGAAAAAGACTGATAAGACAAGGCCACTTTTTTTTTTTTGGATCACCTTTGTCAATTTACTGGAAAAGTTTCTAAACGTTTAGTCTCAAGTCCTATTCTTAGGCCAGTAGCGGTGTGGACTGACACACAGCAGACCGCACTAAAAACCCGCAAATACTGCCTGCCTACCCACCCAGGCCTTCCGGGATGGCAGCACATGCCATGTGCTTCTGGGTATCAGCTTATTAACTGCTCACAGCAATCACTGTTATCGCCCACACCTTACATACAGGGAAAGTGGAACTCAGAGAGGCTACGTCACTTGCCTAAGAACACACAGCAAATCAGTAGGGCTGGTATCTAAACCTAGGACGACCTGTCTGAAACATGTGCACAAAATGCTGTGTTGTTTCCCCGAGGGCGCTTGGAGACAAACCATGCAGGCAGTTTTCGCTTTATCTTCTAAGTCAGATATGTCATCGTTACCCAGTTTGTAGGCAACTAAGCCCTGGTTTCTTATCTTCTTCCTGCTTCCTAGGCTTCTGGGCATTTTAATTCATTAAGAGGAATCATGAGAGGTGGTGAAACTCACAGCCATTCAGCTATGTGGAAACAGACTAGGGAAAGGTACGGTAACTACGAGAGAAATGGCCACTAAAATTGGACTTCAACGTTTTTTTATTCCACACTTCTCAACATCAACGGGAGGTAAGGATGGCGGGACGGATTCCCTACACAGCTTACCTTGCCCGACGGCCGAATGCATTTTTTCCATGTCAAACTTAATTTTTGATCTTCCTGGAGTGCTAAGCATCTTTTCCCACACTGTGGTGACCTCTTTAAGACAAGGAGTGATTTCTTCGTAATCAAGCTTTAGGCGCTTGTTCAGCAAATCATTTTCAGAGGCTAGAAGAGACGGTGTAAGAGTGTGTTAGAAGATGCTGCTACAGCCACAGGTGTTCATCTCCTGGCATCGCTGCTGGGATGGTGAGCAGTTACAGCCAGCTCCACAGGTCCAGACTGAAGTCACCGTTCCTGCGCCACCTCATTTTCCTCATCTGAGAAAAAGCTGAACACGCCTAGTAGGTATCCTCGATTTCTCTGACCCCCGCACCCCTCCCCCACCAAGACACCTGTTGGCTCCGCTACTAAAATGTATCCCATACCTGTCCAGTTCCACCAGTCTTCACAGCTACCCTACTAAAGCACAAACATCTCAGGGGCAGGAGCTGTGTGTTAAGACTTCTGGTGCCTGGCGTGGTTCCAGAGGAACACAAACCCTTCTCTGAACCAGGAGAGCCTCTCCAAGGACACTTCCTCCCTATTTAGGGCCAAACCTTCTGAGGTAGCTTCTACCTCGTCATGTTTCTGCTTCCTGCAGCTCAACAGAATAAATCTTCTCTTTCGTGTTACACTGCCCCAAATATACGAAGGTAGTTAGTATTTCCCACCAACCTTATTCAGCTTAAACTGCACTAAGAAATATACCTGGATTACCAAACTGGGGTTGGGCGGGGAAAGAGGCAGGGAATCAATAAAGGAAAAGTTTAAATTGACAATTCTCAGGATGAATCTGACAACCTCACTCCCACCTAAAACCACGATATTCTACGTGGACACAGTGGTAATGTCGTCAGCCCCCAAATCCATCCCACCCCACATCTCAGATCTTGGCAGCAGAGAGGATTGCACAGGTAAGTACGAGCTAGTATGCAGGCCTCTGCAGACCTGATCGACTATCGTCTTTCTGATGATAATAAACCAATACTATGTCCTAAGTACTTTATATTTAGCAGCAGTTAATCTTAATGTCTCTCTGAGGCAGGGTTCTGGTTGAGAAAACCAAGGCCCAGAGGCTGACTAGCAACTCCCAGGTCCCTGAGCAGGAGGTGGGGCGGGCCTGGGGCCCTTGACCTTCTCCACCGCACTGCAGAGCTTGTGGTTACACATTTTTTTTTTTTTCTGGGACTAGGCATGTATCCATCAGGGGCCAGAAATGTTTGAAAGAACCCAGTGGAACTTTCTAGGCCTAGAGTTTTTTGAGTGAAAGATTTTCCACACAAGCGTGATCTAACAGATACAGGACCATTCAGATCTTTTTCTTCTCATTTCAGTTTTGGTAAACTGTACCTCTCATGAAGTTTGTCCATTGCATCTAAACTGTTAAGGTTACTGGCATACAGCCATTCTTAGCCCTAGAGACATTGCTGAGTCAATGCAGACATCACACAAGTGTGTCCTCCCCCAGCCCCCTGGAAGTCCGTGCTCTGCTCCCCCCTGCTCCCCCTTGATTCAGGAGGAGAGGAGGCTGAGCAGGCTCATAGTGTGCCCAGGGCCACAGAAGTCAGAGGTGCTGGAGCAGGACCCAAAGCCCCCTTCCCCTCCCGCCACACCTTCTTCCAGGCCCAATCACTACACTGTTGAACCCCAGTGCCTATTATTTTTAAAATGGAAATGACAGCTACCTCATTGAGTTGTTCTTGTGAAGATTAAGTGACATGAAACATAGCAAGCATCCACAAAAGTTTGCTAATCAGCAAGTGCTCACAAATTATCAAAACTATAAAGACAAATAAGGAAAGCTATAAAACGTTGCTCTACAAACTAAATGCTGATAACATGAAATCAAGTATTTTCTTTTTCTGTGATAGAAACTGAGCAAAGGCTAACTCAGTTAATCTGGTTAATGCTACCCTAATAAGACCTTATTCATGTGATACATGGATTATGTACTCAATAGGCCTAATTACTACCTTCAAGTACAAATGCATGAAAAGATGGTGCTGAAAACTGCTGCAGAGATCCCTCGTCCAGGCTTCATGGACTTCATGGACACAGACACTCAAGTGCAGAGAGCAAGTACAGGGCTTGCCGTAAGGTGTTTACTGGATGGTGGACAGTCAAGTGACTCCAGGCCTGGTGTGCCTCTCTTGTGGTTTTTCATCTACCATCTTCTAACTTTGAAGAATACATTTTTTTAAGGTCCCATTAAACAACGCTGTGGCAAAGCAGGTTCAGGACTAGCCCTGCTGGACAGTGACTGCGGGCAGCACTGGGCTCTCGGTGCCCACGGACATTTCTGATGCTGAGCTCTGCTGCGAGCCTGTCTGGCTGCATTAAAGAGCCCAGCAAGCAACATGAGGAGCCTGCTCTGAAGTCAATGGGATGGTAACATCTAGCTGGAAGATTCAGCTGAAAAGGCTTAATCCATGTATTGCACTGTTGGCCTAAGCAGCATCCTGCAGTTTGAGTATCTAAGCTAACGCTGTTGCCTAAAATCGTAGCTTCCAAAATGTCTTATCAAGCCAGGCAGATGGTACCTGCTTGCAACAAATGTCAAGGCTCCCAGACAAGGCCTTTAGATACAAGATCAAACTGTTTAAAATCTTAAATTAAGGGTCCAGAAACCCAGGGTTGAATATTTCTTGGGCTACGGGACACTAGGACCACAGGAGATCAAATGTAACTTTGCAGAAGACTCATCTGAAACATATATTACCATTTACCATGAATGTATCAGCCTACTCAGACTTTGAACTAATAACGTTCAGGTCTGATTTGTGAACCACGCACAAGGTGGGCTGTAGCTGCCTGTCCCCAGTCCTGCATTGCTGGTGACCACCTTCACAGATAAAATGTTCTTCCAACTACAACCATCTCTTAAAACTTTAGTGAGGAAAGGCTAAGAGGCTGGAAGAATCAGTGATTAAATGACCTCCAAACCTGTAGGGATTTTAGAAGAAATGCAGTCTTTTATTATTATTATTTTTATAACCAACATAATGTATTTGCTTCACCAGGAAAGAACCTTTACAAATATCAATTACAATTTAATTAAAATTCAAAATTCAATGTGTTATCATACCATTTTACAGATACAGCATAACACTTTAATCTGAAGCATGAAATTTTCAATTACATTAGTCAGTTAAACAAGCAATAGTGTTCTGAACCCAAACCATGGTTGTACGGAACCACACCCTGTCCTGCATTCAGTGACTCACGTCCTCACTTTAACAGCACAGGAATGGTCTTGGCCTTGCAGAGGGACACAGCGGAGACTGCTGGCTTGGGAGACGGGCAATGCATTCTGGTCCCTGAACCAGGAAGGGTTATCTGTTTGGGGAAATTAGAGTTCAGCTTTCAACTAACTACAATGGACTGAAGCAGACTTAGATGATGTGGTTTGGTTCCTTCTCAGATGCAATGCTTTCCGAATAGTAACAGATACTTAATCCACATATTCAGAATCTAGGAAATGGGCTTAATTAACCATGGAAGAACCTCCTCACACGTGTTCTTCTCATTCCTTTTCCAAACAGCATGCAATCTAGCTTAAACACTTGATCAATTACAAGAACCACGCCCAACTACAATTTAATTTTCCTTTAAAAATCAATTAACAGGGCCGCCTGGGTGGCTCAGTCGGTTAAACTACCAACTTCAGCTCAGGTCCTGATCTCACGGTTCGTGGGTTCGAGCCCCGCGTTGGGCTCTGAACCTGGAGCTAGCTCAGAGCCTGGAGCCTGTTTCAGATTTTGTGTCTCCCTCTCTCTCTGACCCTCCCCTGCTTACACTGTCTCTCTCTCTCTCTCTCTCAGAAATAAATAAAACATTAAAAAGAAAATTAAATAAAAATAAAAAGTGATTAACAGACACTGTGATAGAATGACTATCTCTCTATATGTATACAGTGCACGCCTGGTCGGTTCTGGTCAAATCTTGCTTCTGTATTTAATGAGAAAGTTCCGCCCCCCCTCGGACCCCAATAAAGCTTACTAAATATTTTTTTAGGCAATTCATGGTAAGATTCTTATTGACGATGAAGTTTCCAGGCAATATAGGTGCTGTACACACTGAAACAGTCAATCCTTTCTGAGTTAAATCAAACAATTTATTGTGCTTTCACCACAAAAGTGAAGGTATGTGTTGAACTTTTTACAGAGTAAAGAAAAGAAATTAATTCAAATTGCAAGAATGCAAGACCTCATGAGACAGACCACTGCCAGGTGAAATAAAGAGGTGGCAGCAAGATGCTGGCAAGGCCCAGTGACCTCGATGCAGCACCTGGCCCGGTGCTCCAGGCCACCCTAGGGACACTTTCCCTGTCCACTCATCTGTGATAGTCATTTATACAGCTTTACAAAAGCTTTGCCTTCATGGCACACTGATTGGTCTCTTCAGCGGCAGCCACGATTCCCCCCAGTGTGCCAGCCGGCGCCATGCTCAGTTTCCTGCTATGCGCTGGTTCTCCGTGGCTGTCATTTGTAAGAGGACTGGCCCAGGGAGTATTAGGATTTACGGCCTACGTGATGAACAGAACTGCCCGTCTGCTTTTCAACAAATAGACCCCAACCCGATATATGTGCGAATAGGAGTGTTGGGCTCCAAAGCAATCAGGTAGCAGAGGCGCACTCAGCGATCTTATCCCTGTCAAGTCCCTTTCACACATCTGCTTTCAGAACTGCCTTCAAGAACACCCAAGAAAACGGCAGAAAAACTGAGTTGGGAGAAAGCTTGGCAATCACGGCAGTAAACTTCCCTCACTGTTACACCCTCCCATGGCACCTCGAGGGTCTTTCAGCCTCAGTGCTGGGTACGGGGGAGAGCCTACAGCATCTATAAGGAGCCCATGCCAGATGCTCCACTACTTTCGTATCCAAAGGCCTTATTACTGTGTATCTGGCTTCGTGTTTATGGTCAAAGATGACATACTTTGGTGGACTATGAACCTTACCAGATTTGGTGTCTTAATATCAGCTCTATGCACACATCGAGATAAAAGATGAAGATCTGCAGCCAAGGAGTAAATTCAATGAAATGTGCTCGAACTGCCAAGCTGCTCTGGGCTGTGGAGGCACGAGTGAGCCGCCCGCACGGCCTCCCTTTGAAAGAGTACGTGCAGATTTCCCCATCGAAATGGCCAGTGTTTTATATCCAGCCAGCTCTCTATTAAAAACCCACGTTCCAGGACCCACGTTCTTTCCATCATACCGCCCACTTCACTTCTTAGCTACTATGAAAATATTTTTTGGTTCAAGCCAACAGTAAAGAAACAGGAAATGAACAAGATCTTAAACTTTCAAAGTTCATGTCTTATTTTGATACTGACATGACCCTTGGTAAGAACTTGGCTGGTGTGAGCCTCAGTTTCCTCTTCAGGCTAACGCCTGCCTCCCGGAGAGCCGTCGGCAGCATTAAGAGTCTGTCTACACAACATCCAGTCTTAGTTCAGTCAGAACCCAGCTAACGCTGAAGCTTGATCATCTTTGCTTCAGATTACCTGCAATCCACTCAAAATGCACGTAGCCTGAGGTTAAGAACCTCACTGAGTTGTGCAGGATTAGTTCACACCTACCACCCAACCACAGACTGTGGCTGGGGACAAAGTAAGGAGGGAGAGAGCAAACAAAGCAAAAAACCCTCTTCAGAGGGTTGAAGCTTATATTTGAAGGTTGTCTCTTGGACACTCCAGATGTTATGGCAAAAACAACCATAGAGGAATAATCCAACACACTGGGAAAGGTCATCATGAAGCCTCTAGAAAGTAAAAAGCACTAACTCCACTTTGAAAAAGTAAACACATTTTGTATATATGTATGGGTGGATGGATGTTAGAGCACCTTGGTTTGTGTTTTTTTTTTTAAAGACAGCATACTCATGTGGGATGCGAGTCACTTCAGAGCCAAGACAAATTAAGATTATCAGGCCTCTTCGTTCTAAAAAATGGCAAACCAACCTTGCAGCTTCTGGTTTTCCTTCTCCATTCTGAGCAGCAGGATCTGTTGTAGAATGGCCTTTTGCCACAACTCTCGAAGCTCGCGAGAGGTCCTCTTCCTTTCCTCTGAGACGGGGCCGACGGGTCCATCTTCACAGACCGGTTCTAAAGGAGATCGGGGTGGGAGCTCTCCCAGCTCAGAGTAATCTGGGGACAGAAAAGCACATTTTAGAATGCTAAAATTAAATTTAAACATTGTGTCAGATCAGAAAATTTCTTCTCACTCGCATATTATGAAATGATATCACCAAATTTAAAATTCATGTTTTAATAGGCATTAAAATAAATTAGGTGTGAGCCACAACCATCAGATTAGACATCAAGCGGTAAGCAAAAGCTGTGTAGGAGCTGAAGAAGTGTTCAAAGATACCTTCTGTCAAAGGTGTAATATTTCTATTTTCTTCTGAGTCAATTCCTGTATTACTGGTAGCAGCAAATGCTCTAGAGCACGCAGTCCATTCCAGATCGTCCTGAGGGCTTTATGGAGACTCGTTTATTTAACACTCAACCACCCTCAAATGTAGCTACTGTAATTATTTAATTTTAAAGAAAAGCAAACCGAGGCACAGGGAGTTTAAAGGAAAGCAAACTAGAGCACATTTGACACTTGCCAAACGTCACACAGCTAGTAGAGAGCCAGGACTGGGGGCCCGAGGAGTCTGGCCGCCATGTGCATTCTTAACCACGATGTTACAAGGCTAGGTATTTTGGAAGAAGAATTTAGCATATTTAATAGCCAACAGTAACAGTGACCATTAACGGATCCTCTCCCAAGTACTGGGCACCATGCCAGGAGTTTTATACAGACAGACTCATTTAATCCTGATGACAACTCCAGAAGGCAGGGGTTAGCCTGAAGAGAAAACTAAGGCTCAGAGAAGCAAAGTAACTTTCCCAGGGACAGAGAGTGAATAAACAGGTGTGTTGGGATCTCAACCAATGTCTGCCTGGTTTGGAAGGCATTCACACTTTCTGCTAGACAGCCCTACAATTCAAGGTTCCTATGTCATAAGTGTCCAAATTTCTATTTATTACTTGAATCTCTTCACGTTTCATGAATGTGCATCTTTCTCAACTGCAGACCCCACTGCTACACGATCTTGCTATACCTCAGATACCTTACAGACAAGCAGGAAGAACGTCCCACCTGCTCACTCTGAAACTTGCCGTGAAGAGCTAAAGCTTCTCTGTGAGTGGACCTCACCTGAGGCAATGAGTTCTTGGGAACTTTGGTCTACACTGAACCTAGATATAATCGCGATCTTGATACAAGCTATGAGAAGCCGTTCAGACAACTTGAATCTCACAACCACCCAGATTACAACATTCAGTCCCAGGGTCCCAGTGCTCCAACACAATTCCACGTGACGATTAATTTCCAGAGCAGCCATCAGACTGATCATTATCTTTAGCTAAAGTTGGGTTTAATTTCTTGCTCTGAAATCTAAGAAATCAAACCTAAGCTACAAAATGTTTCATTTCCTAAAGTCACTGGTCCATCTTAACTCTTCTTAAAGCTATTGGATTAAAATAATTTATGATAAACATTAAGAATGCTCTGTGATCTCTGTAAGCATTTAAATGCTTATCATCACATTTCTATATGTTTATTTCATTATGATCCTATTAGGGGCACCTGGGTGGCTTAGTCGGTTAAGCGTCCGACTTTCGCTTAGGTCATGTTCTCTCGGTTTGTGGGTTTTAGCCCTGCTTCGGGCTCTGTGCTGACTGCCAGCTCAGAGCCTGGAGCCTGTTTCAGTCTGTGACTCCCTCTCTCTCTGACCCTCCCCTGCTCACACTCTCTCTCTCTCTCTCTCCTAGAAATAATTAAAAAAAACCAAACATCATTATGATCCTATTAAATGAATGAGTAAATTAAAATTCTTCTCCTGGAGGTAGTCTGTGCACATTTGTTAAACAAGGGTGCTTACGTGTAATGGTCAATATAGAAGCAGAATCACACTGGTCTGTACAGTATGATCTCAATCTTACAAATGTTATGAGAAGGAGGACACTTCGGTGATTAATAGGTCAGGCTCTGGAGCCAAGCCGTCTGGGTTTTAATCAAGACTCCAGATTTTTTGATTTCATGATCTTCAAGCTGCTTAACCTCTTTATGCCTTGGTTTCTCAATCTGCCAGTTAGGGGTAACAGCACCTCCCTCACAGAACCGTTACAGGGATTGAGTTAATATACCCTACCTGAAACAGGGTCGAACACACAGTAAGAAGACTGAATATTAGCTCTTATTGTCTGCTATTACATGGTCATTAAGGGCACACAAAAAAACACTAGAAGGAAACACATCAAGATTCAGCCACTCGACTGTAAGCTCTAAGAAAGCAAAACAAGGCCCCCTTGGCCAGGAGGGTTTCGCTAGCATCTGGCATAGTCCCTGACCCCCAGCAGGTGCCTGGCATACAGCTGGTGACTAAAAGAAGAACTAGGTGGGTGCAAGGTTTGGGTGTGCTTGTTGTTTTTCTCTGTATTTCCTACATCTGTGACAATGAATGTAATTTTTATAAATAAAAAACTGAGGGAAAATAATGCAAATCTGTTCTGAATAAATCGGATACTGAAAAATGTTCTGCAAAACACTTGGAAAACAAGCCAATCCCCCCAACACTTGTGTTAGCGTTAGTCGTTACTGAATACAACATAGCTTCAGTCCATCCTTCTTTCAGAAAGAATTCTAGTCAGGGTTCTTATCTCATCTGCAGCCTCAAATCTTCCATTTGAGCTCTTTTCTTCCCTTTTTCCTTTCACCATCTTGGCTGTTGAAATTCTGCTGGACAACGCGGGGGTGAGTCAAGTTCTGCTTCATCTCATGCTGAAGGATTTACACTCCCACCGGCTGGCAAGGGTCTTGTTTCCAAAAGGTGATTGCTAGGAGACGGCCTTGTTGCGGGGTAGGGGGGTGGGGGGCAGGGAGGGGACAGGAGGGGTGAGGAGAGGTGCAGCCTCACCGCATATGATTTCACATGCGCAGAGAAGGCAGCCAGGGACCCACCCACATGATGGAGCAAGAGCAGCAGTCAAGTCTGGAAATTCATTCTCATCCTCAAGCCCCACTCATCAGTCCAGGGCTCATTCACCTAGCCTCCTGCCTCCAACCTCCCCTCCCCTCTTCACCGCCTTTCTCCTCCAGAGCATCTTGCAAAGTCCTACTTACTTCCAGACCCTGCAAGGTAATGAACAGAGCGTAGCCCAGACTGGGCTGATGGAACACATCTGGGAGTCTAGGTTGTTTGGTCCCCAGATCCATCACTCTCTGCCTGCTGGGTTGCTGACAAAAACCAGAGTCTTATGAAGCTCCAGTGCTTGCTATTTTCTTATTCCAAAGAAGTAGATCTGCAAGGAGTGCCGGCACTGTCTGGCGGTGCTGACACACACTGCCTCCCGAATGTTCTCTCCGTTAGCTTAGTTTTTCTTATTATCAGTCGCAGCTCAGCTTGCTAAGCATTTACAGTGAGTCCTCGACGCAAATAAGCACGTCTGGTTTTCACGACCACCGCATGGACCAGGAGACATTGTCATCCCCATTTTACAGTCCAAATAACTAAGGTGCAGCAAGGTTTTGTAACGTGGGCAAGGTCACATGGCTCATAAGAGTCGGGGCCATGATGTGAAGTACAAAATGCTCACCCAGGGCCTTTCTAACGTCTAGATGCACAAGTATCATGTGGACTCTTGCTAAAACCCAGATTTTGATTCAGCAGATCTTTGGGGAGTCTGCATTTCTAGCAAGTTCCCAGGCAATGCCACCACCACTGGCTCTCAGAACTCGTTCTCCACACTGCAGCTTCACCCCCTGCACTCCCTCATGCAGCCCTCTGTACTGGGCACATCAGCTCCGCGCCTTTGCTGCCACCACCAGCAGCTGGAACTCCGTGCAGGCACTGTGGTCATCGGCTGCCTGAATTGAGGTGTTCACACGCAGCCAGAGCTCGTCCCAACCTCAGCCAGGTGCCAAGGCCAAGCACAGAACACAGAGAAAAATTACCAGTCCTAGTGTTAATTTCACCTCTGAATTCATGAAATAAAAGCTAATCCACTGTAAAGGTCACCAAATAAACCTAACAGCTGACAGCACGCTTTTCTCAACCTCAGCACGACTGACATTTTGGGCTGGATAATTCTTTGTCACGGGGGACTGTTCTGTGCATTTTAGAGGATTTAGCAGGTTCCCTATGCTCTACCCACCATAGGACAGTAGTATCTGCCCACCCAGGAGTGACCATCAAAATCGCCCTGCCATTGCTGAGTGTCACCTGGGGAAAAGAGGGAAGACAAAATCTCCCCCAGCAAGAACCCCATGCAGAATACAACTCCCCATCACTTAATCCCCTTCTAAACCCTGGGGATGGCTAAAAATATATTCCTCCTCACCCAAATTCATTTTATGTGGCAACAATTACTGATGCTATAGTTTATAATTAACAATTTTTAAATATATTATTCTTTGTTCTAAATCTAGCCTGGCTAAATTAATCAAAGCAGGCTGTTTTCTCATCAATGCAAAAAGATCCAGATTTGGGTCAAGGGCGTAGCTTTCTAACAGTCTTCTTTCGTGGGTACGTGCGTATGTGTGCTTAGTGTACAGTCCTGTGAGATGTGTATTCACAAGTGTGGGGTTGAGTTGAGTGACAGGCTTAGGGCAAGAACATTAAGATGTTGGACAACTGCCAGCTGAAAGTCTTATTCTAATAATAAATATGTACATTACTTAAGTTTATTTAGTCTGAGAGGAGTGGGGGAGAGAGAGAATCCCAAGCAGGCTCCTCATTGTCAGCGCAAAGCCTGCCTGACACTGTGAGACACAGTCCGTGAAATCATGACTTGAGCCGAAATCAAGAGTCGGACACTTAACAAACTGAGCCGCCCAGGTGCCACAATATGTGCATTATTTTAACTTGAATAATTCCTAATCCATTTTCCCCAGGATTTACTGAGTCCCTCTTATGTACCTAGGATGGGATGTGCTAGACGGTCTAAGACGTTCCTCTGATGTTTCTAACGTTCTTTAGAACAGCACAAGGGGTCGGGCTTCCTTCCCCAACCTGCACTCCCGCTGACACACCGCTGCACAGAGGCCGACAGGGAATAGGACGGCAGAGGCTTGGCTGGGGGCTCTTGCACCCCCAGGC